CGATCCACCCGCCAAGCACCATCGACGACGTCAATCCGGTCAGCCCCAAGATATCGCGCGTGCGAAACGGCCGGGGCGGGACGGCACCGCTCGAATCTTGACGCAGAGGTACCTAGGTACGTACTGTATGCACCAATTAATCGAGGTGGTAGTGTATAAACTCCTTGTCCAGATAGGGCTACCTAGCGTGGGTGTGTCGCCGTTGACTTTGCTATCTGCCAGTAGGTAGGATAGCGGATCGCCTACCATGTCGGTATTGCATTGCATGTAGGTCACATCAACCTCGCGACCATGGATTTAGTCTGTACACCGTAAAAGAAAAGGGAAAAAGGTTGGTGCCTACATCCCGCTCGTGTTCAACCCCGCTGTGCCCCCGTTTCATACACAGGAACAGCACGTCGGCGTGGTTGGTTCTCGGGGATCCTAGGCGTTGCCCGCCGCGGACTCCGAATATGAGTTTGGCCTCACACCTGGCTTCGCGGGTAGGCCGGTCTGCATATCCCGCGTGGCCATCGTGGCATCCGTCGAAGCGGCGGTACTGATGTCCCGGGGCAAATATGACCAAGCGACGAGAAACCCATACGCCTCTGCTATCCCGAACGCAATCTCCTTCCCTACTGGTACCTTGATACCTCGTTTCAACCCCGCCACCATGCAATAAAAAAACCGGGTACTAGGGTCCTCCCCGCCCCTCCGTGATCCTCTCGTGATGGGAATGTCCGCGACAATCCGCCGCGTATCTCTAATCAGTCACGGATGAGGAAATCGTGCCAACTTAGACCCGATGCAGATCGGATGCGATCTCCGCCTCGCCGCACGATGGATGTTCTCGTCCTAGGAATATGGGAGAGGCATCTATTGCCGACTCCTTCTATTCCTGCAGTATCCGTGGCTGGGGGAAGTTTAGACGAGTTTCACGACGGATCTACCCACATGCGCAAATGATTATATATACTCCGGAGACTCTTTCGCCCGGGCTTGATAAGAACAGGGGGGGGGGGGGAGGTATGAGGCGCGAATACAAATTGGGGAGAAGTGGAAGTGGGACGATGGAGGGGAGGAGCAGGAGAACGGGAGACTGACCTTGTGCGAGGTTACATACCGTACCGCCGCCGGCAGACGACAGGACAGGCGGCCTAGGCGGCGCGCGCGGACGCAGGCACCACCTTGTCACAGTGCGGTCGGCCTCGATCTCGCCTCTAACGGCACTCGTCGTTCGATGGTGAGACATGATTCGCGAGCGGTCGCGACGTAGGTCCGAATTGGCTGCCAGCGAGGCGCTGAGACGTCCAAATATGCCGAAGATCTCGTTGCCACTTGGGTAATGCAAGATCTGTGAAGACCGGCAGGTAGTCTGGCCCAGTCAGCCTGCCTGCTAAGCCGGTCGGCCCTCAGCCAACCGGCCGCTGCCGTTCCTGGAGCCATCGATCGTAGTTCGGGGTGCGAGTAATTCTTGACAACGGACGGGAGACTTTGGTGAGGAGGAGGAGCAGAGACGGGTTCGCGGGAGGGGTGGGGAGCGGGAGAGAAACGAGGGCCGCTAGCCAAAAGCGATAAGCATCTCACCGCACCGCGCGGGGAGGTATGCTGTGTACATGGGCACGTATAAGCCGGTCTCTTGATTGGCGAAGAAGTGTCTGCCCGCTATACTGGGTACATATAGTACCTCCTCTACCACTTATGAGTATAGTACACCACCTGCTCGCTACCCACGATGTTTTCAGTGCCGACAAAAACGGATGCGAACCTAGTCTAACTGCCTCGACGCAAACGACATAACCATAGGGCTTCGCCATCCATAACTGCTTTCTATTCCTTTTTTTCAGGGGGGGGGGGAAGGGTTAGAACCAGCTCTCGACCTCCATCCTTCACAAAGGTTGTCGTTGTACCCAACTACCTTACCTAGACGTACAGACCCGCACAACCTCCGAGGGAGGCTGGCCCAAGCTTCTGTCCGCGTGGAATAAGAGGGGGAAGGCGACCGAAGGGGGCTGAGACCGACCGACTGGCCCTCTCTCGTACCCGGCCCGGCCGCCACATGCATTTGCGATTACACCTCGATCGCATGGAGGTGCCCTTACAGCCGTAGCCGGACTGCAACAAGCGAACAGTTTCGTGGGATTCACGCCACCTTGCCTATCAAAAAAATTGGATACCACCATCAGGTCTTGAGCCATCATCTCCTTGTCAACTGTCTTGATAAGAGATACCTATACCAACCTACCTACCTAACCTACCTACCTACCTACATAACCAACCCCGACCTGCCCGCCGAGAAGCAGAGAGAGACCATCGCCAATGTTCCCACATCCATACTAGACCGGAATCCTTTCTTTCAAGAGGTTGCTCTACCTGCCGTCCAAGTCCGCAGAAGCAGCAGCGGCTTTGCCCTCGGGGCGACTTACTACATAGTGCGACTCTGATTTCGTGTCAACTGCCATCTCAGGCTTAGGATTTCCAGACTTGCGGTAATTAATACCATGCCTAGACGACGCCATAGGTCGAACGGTCTTGTTCAGCGCTAACTTATTGCGTTGGGATCGTATACCTCTCCCGGTCGCGCTACACGCGCTGGCATTAGACCCTACCATCCCAGCTGCGGGACGTTGATTCCGTTAGCTTGCATGTAAGGCTAGGACTCGAGCGTCTTGGAAGCGAACGGCGCGCCCTACCTCCCACGGCCGCCGGGGTACCTGTGTAGGTATGTTGTACTGCTACGTACGAGCACGTAGGCCACTGGAACTTGGTAAAATCGCAGGGAGCGTTTCTGTCTCGCTCCCGTCTCACTGGCCGCCGGTTGGGAGAGATGGGTATGCACATATGTATGCCACATGCCAAAATTTCAGGTTGAGACACAGATGTAACCTAGGTACCTAGGTATGCTGCCTGTAGCGCCTTGCGGTGGACGAGATGCCAATACCCCAGACATTTTTATGCTACCGTCGGGTATGCAGGTATCGTAGGCTAGGAGAGGCAGACTGCTACGTATTCGCCATGGTCTTGCGTCTCGGACGGTGCCGGGAGGTGGGCAACGTTCGATGCAATTCGAAGAAATCGCCAGAGCCATGCACGGAATCGGCGTACGGGTCCCAGTAGGCTAACTGAGGGCGGACCGGGGAGGTTGGACTAGGTGGGAATCGAGCAGGTGTCGGAGGGGAAGATTGGCTGGTAATAGGGCGCTAACCAGCAGTCTTCTAGGCGGTTCCGCCAGTGGGCGACGCTCCGACGTTACTCGCTGGACGGGGAGACTCGACCGCTGAAAAGACTGAAATACCTACCTTATAGGCAAACCAATAGCGGGCACACCCCTACCGCCCACAATAAATATGCACAACTACCTGATGCGCGCGCACAGTTCGAGCTCGCCAGGTCGTACGGGTGCTTCGTTGTTCGGGTCTAGCTGCCCCCCTCCCCCCCCTTTTCCCCAACCCCGCCGTTTATGTATGTACGCATGTATGTATGGGGACGTACGCACACCCACCGGTAGCCTTAGGTGGACATATGCAGATAGCTACGTTAGGTAGCTAACCTATATGAGTCTGTCTAGGTACTTGAGGTAGTTAGTGTACTTGGGCAGGGTGCCTAGGTAGGTGCTTAACTCACCCGGTATTATTATCACGGAGGTATAGGTGATGCCTCCTCCTACACCCTACATCCACCTCTCTCCATCTTCCCCGGCGCCATACATCAATACCTGCATCCGGGCTTCACACCTACCTACCTACCTACCTCCTCAGGTATATATATCACACAGGTAGGGATATGTATACATGCCACACGCACACGCACACGCACACGCACAGGTATAGATCAGTGCGACGGCAAATTCGGCCACTCGCTCCAGGACGGGACCGCCACGCATACTCGACATATTACGTAGGGCTTGGCCCGCCATGACCTGCAGCTCCAAGCTGCACGCAACCTTGCAAGGCTGCATCGCTCTGAATCCATTCCAGCCCATCTGTCTGTCTCCTGACTCAGGGCAGCACGGCCCTTTGGGGCGACGCCACATTTTGTCTCTCGACGCCAGCTGCCCGCCCGATGTATCTCCCCGCTCCACCCACGCTTAATTGCCATCCGCACTCATATCCAGGTCCCTACCGAAACCCATAATACGAGATCCACGGCCTGAGGCGATGAGGCTGCGCCCAACTCTTGGCTAACCACGGAAGTGAGAACGGATAGTCCTCCTGCAAGGTCTATTGCCTATTGCCTATATTATGCAAGGCGGTCAACAAGAGCGGGCGCAGAGAGATGGAGAGAGAGAGAGAGCCTCAGCCGTCGCGTCCCCTCGCAACCCCGTACTTCCCTTTTCGCACTACGCGTGTTCGGTTCACACCGAGCAGCAGCAGCAGCAGCAGCAGCAGCAAAATAGTTCCCTACTAGCCCCCCTCGCTTTTTTTTCAACCCCCTTCCGGCCACCCATTCGTGACGGAGATGCTGACGACAAGTAAAACATCCCCGGCTGATTGATTCTATTGCCGGACGCTGGTCGCGTGATATGCATGGGCTCGCGGCTGTGCCCACCGGGGGGGCAACGATATTCGCTGTTACTGCATACATATGCGATGCGTGTTCATCGAGACATTCTCGTCCTACTCGTTTGTCATATCCCGCCTTTTTTTTTTCTCGTTACAGACGACACCGGCGAGGGCGGACGACGACGGCCGCGATGGCCGGGAGGCGGGTGATCCATTGGGTCTCGAGCTTAAGTGCCGACAGGCCGCGATGCAGACGAGCACCACTCGAATCGCATTCGTCGCGGTTGACGTTGCCGACAATCGAGCAATTGCTATTACGGCGCACCCGTTTCCCGTCTCCCCTTGCCCCCATCGGTAGACAGAAGCGCCTAGGCCGTCTTGAGCCATGACGGCTTTTTGCCTTTTGCCAGCGTTCACCAGCCATGCCCTGTGGGTGCTCCTGTTTTATTCTCTCCCGCAACTCTCAGGTTGCATCGGTTGGAAATAGAGGAGGGGGGAAAACCCGCCCTTCCAGAAACCGGAATTCCAACCGACCTGAGTTGGCAGTTCGATCTTTTCGACTCCCTTAGGCATCGAGTGATTGGGAGGTCCATCAGTAACCCCCCCCCCCCCGATAGGACTTTTAAAAGTACACCGAGGTGATTTATCATGTGTTGGTCGAAATGCCTAACTACCTGCCTATGTATCTATCCATTTATTCTTTCTCTTTTTATTTACTTCCTATTTCTGCTTAATTTCTCCTCCTCTTCCCTTTATCATTTAAAATTTTTTTTTCGTCTTTTCGTCTTTTTCTCCTTTTCGATTTTTATAGATACACCCAGGCTTTCGTGCCTGATTCTTGTTACTGCTCATTTCGTCATGCGTATGGTCTTTCGTGTCCGAATGAATTTCACACGACGCATGGCCCTTGCAGTAAAGTGCACACGGGGTATGGTCGTATCACGCCTACGGGATTCACTACAGGCGCTATTCCGCAGTCGGGGCGACTTGATTCTCGTTCGCCTGAAACCACTGCAAACGAGACTGGCAAGAGGAGAGGGGTCTGTCACATCGTATTTATCGAGCCCCCAAATGAGGATCCCGACTCGAATGCATCACCAATCTAGCGGGTCGGTGATTGGCAGGTAATTCTCAAGTTCTGAGAAGCCAGCGCGCCTCGTTCGAATCCAGACATGCGCATGCGTATGCGCATGTCGCCAACCGCCAGTCACCAGTGGTTACTGCGTAGTTAAAGTCCTTCACCCGCCACCGCCTGGTGCTGGCCCAGAGATGGCTGAAAGATCGGTGCCGAACGATTTGTGCCACCCAAGTGAGACACCTTTCCGCCTCGACCAAGGCCTACATAGTTGCCCGAAGAACCCCGGCCTACCGACGCCCCTCTTCAGCCTCCGGAAGGGAGAGGCGTGAGATTTTACCAGTCTGATCGCCCACGCGTCCCCGCGATGACGGGCCATTCGCCGGCTGCTGGGGCTGATCAGCCGGAGCCAAAAGTGCAGGCCGGCGCGGGTGTACGCTCTGCATCTCCAATATAACATGCTCCTGAGACCCCTTTTTCACCTGCAAAGAAACCTTATCGAGCAGCCCCCCCCCCGGTTGGATCCTCGGGTTGCTACCACGCCCTGCCAACTCATTGGCGTCGACGCACGGGGAGGGCATATCACACAATGCCATGATCGTAGCATCCGGCGCCTGTTTCCCAATGGCATCTCTCTCTTCCTCCATCCCCTCCCTCTCCGTTTCCTTCTTCTCTCCTTCTCCCGCCTCAAGGGCCCTCCTACCCTATTAAGCGTCGTTAGGTGCCATGGCACACGCACGTCCGCCGTACGCCCCCGAGGATTGGCTAGGGCTAGGGCGGGCCTCGCACCATCGACGACCGTTCGGGACAGGTGCCGCGACGACATTTGTTCGCTGGCCGGCGGCAACTTATCGTGACACTATCCACGTCTCGCCTCTGGCTGGCCGTGCCAGAGCGCCGATCTCAGGAACGGGTAGGCACTAGAAAGTGAAGTGCATATGCGATGACAACGCATCTCTCTTACTCTCGTCCGGTATTTTGCCTGGCGGATATTTCCGAGGCTTTCCCCTGCCTGCCGTCGATCCCTCTTCTTAGCCTTCTGGATTAGGCAGCTCGGGAGAGAAGCTCAGGCTGACTTTCTAGAACGCCATTCTTATCAAGCCTTACGGGAATACCTATTTGCGATTCACCCACCGCGTGACTTGCTAATTGGCGGTTGGTGGTATAGCTATCGCGTATTGGAGTTTCCAGCAGTCTAGGGAGGGGGGTCGTCCCAATCAACGGGAATCGGCCTGAGGCTGCAGTTTTATCTGTCGCCCGCATCCTGCCAGTGAGTTTCCGCAGAAGGCGATTCTCCCTTGGTCGCTAAAACGCCGGCTTCATGACGGATTCTCTTGGCCCCTGGGTTGTCTTCGAAATTCAGACTAAAATGCAACAGCGAGTTGCTACCTCCACGCTCCTTGCGGGGAAGGGTCTCGGGGGGACCTCGTTGGCTTAGGTACATAGCTTCTCGTCCCCGCCCGGCCTTCCATCATCCCACTCGCCCCCGCCGTCGTCGACTCCTCGCCGTTTCAAATGTAAACCGGGGCGATATGATGCCCTCTCAATTGCCTCGATGCGGATTTTTCGGGACTTCTCGAGCGGGTCCGACCATCCCAGAAGGCGATCTCAATAGACGGAGGCCATCTCAATCGGCAAAATAGACCGGCAATATGGAGGGGAGGGGGGGGGGGGGGGGGTGGACATGAGCGGTGTCTGCTGTTCTGACCCCCCCGGATGGGGGACCTCGCTCTCATAGGGCTGACGAAGGCTATAACGGGTTAATAGAGCTCGGTATTTGTCAGGTATGGGAGCGCCCATGCCCGGAGAGGTGCTCCCTTAGCCAGATCATGATTCAGGCGGTGCCAACGGTCCCCACCTGCACGAGTTGCTGCTCTCTATCGCTACCTGCATTTCCGCCTTCACCACAAAACAGGAATACGGCGCCGGGCCCGCCTCCTCTTCGGGGAATGGCCGTCCTGTGCTATTCGGCTACCTGGTCGCCTATCTACATGACACTGATTTGCTGCTTAGATGACACCTCGCGGCCCCATGCGCCTTATCCATTCCCGATGGGATGGGCAAGGGAAGGCTAGCTCTCGCCGAACCTCACCTAACCAAGGGAGAGGCGTGAACGGGTTGCTGACCGTGCATTTAGCATCATGCCACGCGGCCTTGCCTTGTCTTTTTCTTTTTCTCCTTCGCCCACTGCTCCCTTTCTCCGTTTCTTTCTCTCCCGCCTTTGCCTTTTTTCTTTCTTTTTTTTTTCCCGCGTGGAAAGTCTATCACTTTTCTTGCCCCTAAGCCTGTATAGTGGAGGGCGGAACCAGGAGGCCACGCGCCCGACGTCCCGATGTTACGACGTTAGGTGCCCCAGCGCTGTTCGTAGGCATCGCCTGTATTATGCTACTTCGTGTCTTGGGTAGCATAATCCATGCGCTGCGTATCTATGCACAACCTGGTAGGAACCTTGCCTACTAGGAGGCATGTACCTATAGGTGACGTAGGTAGGTACCCGGTATTCCATGGACATTACCCAAACATACCATTGGCAGCTAGTATAGGCACCCCTGCCGCCTATCTGCCGGCCGGTCTATTGTAGGTTAGGTACCTGAAGGGGAGGCAGGTCGGGTCAGGTACCTACTACTCAATCTAGTATGCGCGCATAGGTACATTTCATCGCCGACCTGCCCAGCCTCTACCGCGCTCCACTTTGGCCGTTAAAAGTTCCCCTTGTCGTCCCACTCGGCGACGAGCAAGCGGTGTCTACGGTATGTGCCATACCTACCTCATATCTCACCTACACTCCATGTGTTACGACTGTGTGAGAGCAGGAGACCCAAGGGCCGAGGCACCATGAGGATATCTGCTCTCGTCGCACGAGTTTCATCGCGGTCGGGGCGGCGCAGGGCTCCGATCCAGTTCCAACTGTCCTGCGATGTGACTCTGGAAATTTGCCGTGGTACGCCTCCTATAAGCCCAGGCCCCCTCGACTCGCGGGACGTCTAGGTGGCACGTATTGGAGGTGCTAGCCCTGATGTAGTGAACTCGTCCGCGGGTGGCGAGGACGCGTATGAGAGCTCCAGCGTGGTAAAACCGCTGGGACGTAATGTGATCATGCGAACACGCGAGCTTGTCATCTCATCTAACGGAAACGAGCGAGAAAGAATACGGCATACGAAATGCGGCGAGGCGGGTTGGCAGCACCATCCATCGAGCTTCACCCTGCCTTCATTTCCGCGCCCCAACGGCACCGAGCGACCTGCGGAAGCCCTCCGCTCTCCTCTCGTCGCACGACGACAATCCTACCCCCACCTATGTGTACTTACACGTTGACCTAGGTAGGTGTGTAGGTAGGTGTGTAGGTAGAGAGGACCTCCAGTCTAGTTGGAGCCGATACGATCGTCGATTCCACATCCGACCCCGAACGTAGGGGCAGGACAAACACGATGGGTACATGCCTACACCGATACCATGCTCGTCGTCGTATTACATAAAGGAGGAAAGGAATGGCGAGCGCATCGAGAGAGAGGCACAGAGAGAGAAAAAAAAACAATAAACCACTAAATGCTGCTACTGGTACCAACTCGAGATCGAGATGCAGGGTAGGGCAACCTGGTCTGGCGTGCCCCACTGCCGCAGCCGCAGATACCGAGGCATCTCTTCGCCGTCCGACTATCTCTCGTCCCGTCTTCTCACTGGATACCAGCAGAACGTCAGAGAGCCCGCCACCATGCATCATCCCAAGAAGCTGCGTACGGAGCTTTTGTCCCATCCGTCTAGACGACCGAGACCGGGCGGACGGACACTCGCTGGCTCCCCCTATCTCCCTCTCCCTCTCTCTCTCTGGGTCTCGTTTTTCCTTTCTCTTTACGGGCATCGGCCCCGAATAGCAAATTAACAAAAGTTCCCGCCTGCCCTGGCCCTCCCCCTACTGCTAATGCTAATAGTCATAACACAACGGCAATACCAGAGGCAGCACCCAAAGTCCCCTTCCAGTTCCTCGCCCCTTTCCCGTTTTCCCTGTCCCGCTCTCTGGTCCAGGCCCGGCGTCGTGGTATGATGGTGCGACGCTACACTTTCCTAGCTACTTGCACCCTTCCTCCTCGGTACCTACTTGTTTATGTGCCCACCCTGCTGCCCGTACGGCTTGAGTATGGGGAGTGCTCGAGGGACGAGCTGACTGGGATAGCCGGAAACATAGCGAGATGGGTTTGGCTGGTTGGGCGCGCTCGTCTGTCTAGCTAGCTAGCTGTCTTAGCTGGCGTCTTAGTCCTCTCCTACACACGCGCCTCGGACCCATACCTGACACCTCCTAACCGCCCCTATGTACAAGCACACAGGCAGGTACCTCTTATTAGCTCACCTCTCATCCGGCTCGCGGGGTTCACGGGGACCACTTCCTCGACGATTCCCCGGCGGACGGCGCGGGAAAGGGGAACGGGGGGGGGGCCCTGTCTACATCCCGACGAGTATGGAGAAATTTGCGCCGGCCAAAACTTGGGATTACAGCCTCACCTGTCGTTCGCGTCTTGTGATCACGCCCGTATGCATGCACGCGCGTTGCTTCTAACTGTGCATGGGTGGTCCCTACATCTGGTAGGCAAATAAGAAGGCGGATGGTGATTTTTTTTCTCTCTCCTCCGCCTTGTCTCATGTATATCTCATCGTCTCGGTTGACTAACACCCAGCTGCCCACCTTCCGTTTGGGCTTACCTAAGCGGTGATTATGACTTACACGCATAGGCTATTCTTGCCCTGCTTATGTACGTTCACTATGAAGGTAGATACGTGCGTAGGCAATGTATCTCCCGGTACTCGTGTGCTCCTACGTACTTGGGTACACCCTCCAGTAGGTACTGCTACCTCTCTGCCTCAGAGCAAGACAGGTGTCACAGGTACTGTAGGAGCTATACTGTACCGAACTGATCCATAGAATGTGTGGGCCTGATTACTTGTATTACATGTACAGTGGTAATGACCTACATGGAGTCCTACATAGGGAAGTACCCACTGTAGGTACTCGACGTCTAGTAATACATCGTACCTTAGTAATGTACCTCGTCCGTACAAACGGTGACCACACCGCGCCTCTTCCACCAGAAAAAAAAAACCCATTTGGTGATCTATCGTCGATCCGCCCACGTCTTTCTCATCTGCCTGCTGTTAGTAACCTACAGACGGCATGCACTCATCGCTCGTCCCCGTTCGCCCGCCTACCCATCATACGACTCTACACGTAGACGGCAGGTTGCACAATGCCGGCGGCCGGGTTCGTCGATGGGGCGATGGCTGACCAGAGGGAGGGGACTGGACGAGCGCCCTGGAACGAGATGCACCATGCGCCGTGCGCCGTGGTGCCGCCGAGGCGCCGCCCACCTCTCGTCGCTCAGAAGCTCCGTAGCACACACAGCTGCCACGCGCTTGTCCTGGACCCGATCCGTCGACCGAGCCGGTCGACTACCATCAGATTGTGGTGATCGAAATTTGCTGCCGGCCCGAAGTCACAACGGCACTCCGTCCTCTCCCAGCCCCCCCCCCCTCTTCTACTTTCCAGAGCCGAAAATTTTCACCTCACGCCCTCGTGTTATTAAGAAGAAAATCTCTTCCCTTTTATTCTTACGTTACACCGCCTACATCTACTACCTGCACCCGCGCGTGCATATCTGGCCCGGCTCTCGTGACATCGACCCTTACGGGGCATCCTTATGGCCCCGATAACTTGGATACCCCCGTGCCAACCGAGAGAGAAGAGGGAGAAAAAAAAAAGCCAATACGCGGTAGGGACATAATTTCCTCTCACCCATACGTTGATCGATCGATAGCAGCCTTCCATCCACCCACTCATCCATCCTCCTGCGGTTCCGACACCGTTAGCGTCTCCAGCTAAGGCTGTGCCTCTTCGGGGTGAGGCGAGGAGGGGCGGGGCAGCTCTTCTCTATCACAACTCCTAGGGCACGCGCGTGTAAACGTGTGAAAGAGGGGGGTGGGAGATAGGCATGGTGGCGGATGGGACGGGGATTGGGGATGGCCACGTCCACCGCCGGCAGTCAGCGACGGGCAGGCTATCTTCAGCTAAACCGCCCGGTGGATCCTGGGTAATCCAGCGGTGGGCTCTTAGTCTACGTGCACGGCTCTCTCTCTGTCTTCTTGCCTCTGTCTCCGACTGCGTCGAGAACGAATACGTGCTTAGCACGGCGCAACGCTACGCAGAATCACGTTCAGCTCTGCTATCTTACTCCCCCTTGCGGCTAGAAGGGGGTGGCGCCGATCACGTCGCCCTCCTCCGATAGGGGGGACTACCTGGCTCCTTGGGTTGGCCGGCGAGTGGCTGCCATAGTTATTGCAAATGAGTGCATGACAACTACTCCAACGAGGCAGGTACATGCCTACATACACCAGGAGGGAGGGAGGGGGTTCTAGTTGAGATGCAGGCCCGCAGCCCGTCACAGCCTGCCGGGGAGCAGGCATTCGAGCCCTTCTCAATTACGATCGGCCTTCGACCTCTTGGAGACGAAATGCCACTTGATCCGGATATGCCGTGTAGGCGTTGATCTATTCTTTGCTTGGAAGCTGCTGTCGAGGATTCATGTCGTGTCCATCTCGGTCCCGCTCTGCCCTGTGTGTTTTTATTTTTAATTTTTCTTCTTAGCCGAGGCTCTATTCTCAGGCTTGTGTCTGGCTTTGTCGTTCCACAGGGCAGACCGAAGCGGGACCCATCAGTATGGATGGAGGGATTTGCGACTGGGCGGATGGATGAGTGGATGAATGCCGTGTATAATGGCAAATTCCGCGTGCCTGTGTCGAACAGCACCACGAGGGGACGTTGGGACTTGAAACCACTAAGGCGTAAGTAAGCTGGAGGATTCGCTGGCCTGCTAATTTCGTCCACGACATGGGGAGCGGACGGGCAAGGTAAGGCCCTAGCAATGGCCATGCTCTTGTGCTCTTTCGATTCGATAGCACCCGAATCACACGGTCGAGACGAGGAATCCTTCGGCGTGTGCGCGTAACTACATCGGCGTTTCGAACGACAGAGACGGTTAACCCCGATTTGGGGATTTCGACAGGGCCGCTTTAGGCGAGAAGGAAGCCGAACAGGACTTCTCGGCATCATGGTTGTTTTCTCCTCTCGCTACTAGACGGGTGAATGGATGACATGGGCATAATAGTGCATCGCTGTCTCCTCAGCTTCGCAGACCCGGTCGCACGTAACGTGTGCCTGTAGCACATGGCACGATGGACTTGCCGAGTTCGGTGACGCATCCCGAAGCGTTTGACGTACAGGTGTTGGTACACGACGTCGTCTCTGCGCTCTGTCCTGGAGACTAGGTATAATACCCTATAGACAATGCGTCAACAGCCGTGTAACGTGAGCGTTGGAAACATCAACTTTTTACACAAGGGGCGGATGTGATCGGCCAACGTCGTTGACCAAGGTAGCAGCAATAGTTTCATCTGGGCGTGATATTAGCAAGGGCGGGTCCTTTTTCAGCCTTCCGCTGATTGTTTCTCGAAGAGCTGTCGAGGAACTAGCTGGTGAACTAGAGTTCTAGTTTTCAAGAGAGAAAGAGAGAGAGGGAGAGCGCTAGGGTGGAGCTGGCTGACGGACTTGGCTATCTGAGTCATGCTATAGCCAGAACAGCTCAGCCAACCGGGTTAGATAATCCTAGGTAATTATTGCCCTACGGGGCCTACCTGGTCACTGACAGATGGATAGACTAGAGACTAACTAACAGGTTGGGACGAAACAGGATAGGACGAGAAGGCCCCAGCAACTTCTCAGCCTTACCACAGCGTCGACGTTGGTCCCACTTTGGGGGCGGCTACAGTGCCTACTCGGAAGTGCTCGCCCTCTACCTAACTCACCTTGCTCGCCCCCCTACCCTGCCCTGGCCTGCCCTGTCCGGCCCTGTCCGGTGCTCGCTGGCTGGGCCCCTCTCCCTCCTCTTCGTCAAGCATTACATACATCCATCCTCCTCTCGCGCGCGATGGCGCTGTGGCGGAAAGTAGGGCCGCCCCCAACCTGGAGAAGTTCGCAGGACCCAGGGCTAGTACAGATCGAGCTACTACACTTGTTCATGCGTTGCGCTCGTGTATGTATTGGCTCCAACGATTTTAGTACGACTTCTAGACTCGACGTAGAAGAGGAGAGGAATGAAGGACGAGGGGCGAGGGGGAGATGGGGAGGGGTGGGAAGGGGAGGATGGGTGCTAAGGAAGCACAATGACGGGATGGGCGATGCTGCTCGCCTAGAGCGCCGGGGGGGGGGGGGGGGGGGGGTTCATTCATCGTCCATGTATCTGGAATAGGCCTATGTCTGTTCATACATGCCACAATCTCCATACACGCACACGTCGTCACGGCGGCCCCTGCCTCGGCGCGCACGTGGAGCCAAAACGTGGTCTCGGTGTGTCTTTTGTCAGATCTCCTCTCGCCTCCCCCCTTTTTCCTCCTCATCGGCGTGGCCGCTCGCTCCTGTGTACATGCAGGTATGTCACGCAGAGTAGACCAGATCAGACCAGAGTAGAACAGAACAGATCAATCTAGAGCACTGCAGAGTAGAAGATAGGAGCATCCGTCAGCATCACGTTACGGACCCTACATCGCGCAGGAAAGAGGACGGGGGCGGTAGGCGGTAGGCTGTGACCGGACTCGGATGGCGGGCTACCGAGCTGGATGGACGGCGTGCACACATATCATGATGCTGATGCGTCGACGCCGTCGCGGATCGAATCAGCTCGGCCGGCCGGCCGCCCGTCAGACATATCGAATGGGGGCGGATGGGAAAGGGGGGGGGGTGGGGGGGTGTATGGATGAAACCTCGCGACCTCGAGATGAGGAACAAGTTTATGGGATTGTAGGTTTCTCCTCGGAGCACAGCAGCATGACACGACACGACACGAACACGACGCAGCACACGACATGCACACCATGCGTTGCGGGCTACACGAGCACGAACGTTCGCGCGGCACGCCTGCATGGGAGCTGAAGCTCTGCCTGCTCCAACAGCCGTCGAGACAGGAGGACGGACACCAGCTAGCGAGAGACAAGATGGCGGGCGAGAAGGAGAAAGTAGGAAGAACGAAAAAAAAAACGAAGAAGCGGTGGCTGCTCGATTTTCTTTTAGTGGGCTGCGCCAACCGCGAGGCCATCCTTCCGAGCTGACAGGCGGACTTTTGTCTATATTTCTCTTCTTCTTCTTCTTCTTCTTCTTCTTTTCCTCCTCCTCCTCTTCATGATCGGACCGCCACTGTCATCCTAGGAACCCGGGTTCTTCGCGTCCGTTTGTCACCGTTCCCCCCCTCCTCGTCTCTCTCGCTCCCTCTCTCGTGTCTGTCTCTCTCGCTCTCTTTCGGAGGCCCGCTCCCGGCGCTGCTACCGATAATACGTAGATAGCGCTATGGGGCGCGACGCTGGGCCCCTAGCGAAGTCAAGGGATCCCGACTCGGTACGTATGCACGTTTCATTGCTAGCGGGGCGCACAGTAGCGTACGGTAGGGGGCTAGGACGGGTCGTCGACGGGGGGGCGGCGTCGGGCAAAATACATGGTGGCGAGGTACACCGGTAGGTCGTCGGTAGACATGTAGGCCACCACATGCAGAGGCATGTAGGTATACTCAGAAGGGATAAGTAGGTTAGCTACCTAGCTGTTTGCCCGTCGAGCTATACACACCGCCTTGTCATTACGTACGAGAGAGCGTTGCTACCGTAGAACCGGGACGCCCGCGAGTGGTGGGCTGGACCCGTCCCCAAGCCCCCGTGTTCGCCTCCGATCATCCCGCCATCTTCGAGGATCGAACAACGTGGGATGATGGGCGGACCTGTATGAGTAGGTTTGAGAGCGAGGGGTTTCTACGTCGAGACAAAAAAAGAACTAGGAGAGGGAGAGAATGTGGAATGGGTTCCGCACGCGGGACTCGTAGCGAGAGGAAACAAGGTCTCCCCCTGTCGTCTATATCTGAACTAATCCTTTCTGCCCACCCCCCTCTCTCTCCCCAATTCCACCTCTCCTCCCGAACCGTCGCTCTGCATCCGCATATTCTTCATGACAATTTCCCATGATATGACATGGAAACGCCTCGTGGGACGGGAGGGCTTCAGGTGAGGGGGAGGACGAGCGAGGGAAGGCCAATGCGAGATCGCAACGGAAATGAGAGAGGTCGAAAATGGATGGTTAGTCCGGTCTGAGGGGGGAGGGGACCGCCACTAATCCACCACCCCTGGCCAGCCCTGCGCGCACGCTGAGGCATACGGAGAAATACGTTATACCTACCTTGCAGCCATGTGTACTCGTCGAAGAGAGAGAAGGGCGAGAGAACTTTCGGTACAAACGTCACCCACCCGGGGCACACCCCAGGAGGCCAATGTACCGTTTGTTACTGCTCGAGCGCGGCTGCTAAGGCGTTGCGTTAACAGCCCCCGTGGGCCAAATACGGGCAATACTCTGTATCGCAGGATCGCCATCCCTGCCGACCAGAACTGCTTCCACGACGGGGCGCCGAGCGGCGGGCGGGGGATAAGGAGACGAGACGACTCTTGGCCTACTCATACTCTCTCTGTCTGTCTGTCCGCCTGTCCGTCTACCTTACCCGTTAGCGTGACGATAAATACAATAACGACGGTCTTGCTTCACCGCAGTTATCCAATATCAATATCGATGATAATGTCGTCGGCGCTACCGCCCCCCCTCCCCCGGTGCGCCATACCTACGCACGCATACCTGTGAGTACACACAGCGACGTTCCTTGTATTTACCTACCTCCATAAAAATCCACATATATGTATGCGTGCGTGCGAACGGTGTTTCGATGCGCGCCAAGTCAACCCTCAGGTGAATATTTAACACATGTCTACGCATGCCTGCCCCGGACGCGCGGGTAGCATCCTTATCCCCCACCCCGTATTCGCACCTAATTAGCCCGCTAGGGCATACTATAGACACACTCCTCGCCGCAACGGCAGAACATGCCTGCCTCTATAATGTATAAGCTAGCTAGCTCCAATGCCCGCGAGCGAGACGAGGCGCCAGCCTGTCGGGAGCCGGACCCGCAGGCGAACAAAGCAGCCGAGGGACCGCGTTGATGTTTTTTTTTTCCCTTTCGTCTCGGGGTCAGCGGAGCCCGAGGCCGAGGTTCGATACCTAGGTTCTTCTACGAATTCGGTGATATTACTAGCACTACTAAGAACAGCCATCATGATAACGGGGAATAGGAGACGCTGCTTTTTTTTTCTCTCTGTTGTTTTACGCATCGGTTGCACCTCGCCAACTTTCAATCGTTCATAACCCCCGACGGCCGCTTTACTCGCGGGCGGTGCTTTACGACACCCTCGAGTCCTAAAGATGAAAAATGCCAGTTCACTGAGTTCACGTCCCGCGACCGCTCTTGACTTCTTCATCCTGTCAATCTTCTTACTTCTAGTTCCTGGGGAGAGAAGGTGATATCATTTTACACACTGTGCGTTTTGGTGGCGGTTCCTTTCGTGGCCTCGCTGCCTTAATCGTAAGGCACGCAAGACGAGTTGAAAGGTAAACCTAGTTGATCAATTGAAGGTGTAAAAACTAAACTGCTAAAAGGGCTTAAATACAGCGTTTTACGAACAGTTAGCTGTTGCGTGTTTTTCTTCAATTCCACCAATCACAGGCCTCCATTCTGGATGCCTGAGGATCCACAGCATGGGAATTGGGAGTATCGTCTAGTTAGAGAAATGCTTTCAAACTAGGTCCAAACGGCCGCCGCGTATCGTTGCAAAGACGGAACGTCAACGACAAAGTCTCCCTCTCCTTGACGCGGATCCCGGAGGAAAAGGAGCCGGAACTCCAACACCAATGCTCCCCTAGTAACATTGTATAATGCTGGGTTCGCGGAATCCCCGGTGATGGTGATGGTTTGGTGTAACGTTGGCTCTAAGGTACTAGCCCATCGTGTCGAGGTAGCTCCTTGTCGAGGCTGTCGTTGTTGTTCTATCCATTTTTGTAGGATAATTCTGTTTTGGCTGCGCCCAGATTTGGCTAGAATGACAATCTTGACGTCGTGATTCGATGCGGCGAACCACCATCTCATATCTTCCTGGAGCTGCCTTAGTGACTCCGAAACCCCGGCTTCGATGACCAGCGTCGGCCAAGCTCCGCGTCCCGCTGACCGTGGCCCACCAGACGAATCGCCTTCCCCACTATTTCCGCTGGGGCGGCCTTCTCGAAATGTAGCACCGCCGAGGGAACTCCAGTCCTCCCATAGGCCCGCGCTGTTGACCTGGAAGCAAAGACCTTCGTAAAGCCTACGATGGAGTTGTTCGTGGATTATGGTCGGGATCGTGACAATGAGAATTTGGGTGCTGGCGTAATAACGTCGGAACCGAATCTTGCGCCGGCGGGTCTCTCTCTCGTGCTCGATGGCGGTAAAATCTTGACGAGAGACATCTTGGCAGAATTAGTGCGAAATCCCGTCATTATCGATAAATTTACCTACTTGTGACGATGAGAATATCTCCAGGAACGGAGTCAATCTGCTCGAACAGCTCCGCGGCTGTTGTGAATCGGACTGTGGGCTGGGCATCCTGTGACGATACCGGAGCCGGGGTTAATGCAGACGCAGACGGAGGCGCGGGCGTGGGAGTAGACGTGGCCATGGTTGGAGCCGGATTCGTGATATTGGGTGGGGATATCGACATGGATATGATTATGATGGTGGGTTGTGGTAGGGCGTGCCAGGCGCACAACAGCGACACGCACACGTTGCCTAAGGGTAGAAATTACTGAAGGTACGTATCCGTTCAGCAGGTATAGCCGGAACCGCTTATAATTTGATTGTGACCACTTGGGGTAGTAGTGTACTAATACCTACTACTACTACCTATTCAACGCCCGTGGGGACAACTTTGGGTACTTAGGTATCTTAGGAGAGTGGAATAATAACCCTAATAATTACACGTGCACAGTATCATAGCCAGATTGACACTCCCTCTTATTGAGGCGTGTGCTCTATACATCAAAAACGTGACGTTCTACCTCCAAATCCGTTTTCCTCCGCGATGTAGCTACGCGACTCCGTATTATAGCTACGCGAGCCGCAAACGCGATCGAGGCTTTATCAACCACTCGACTCACCTTGACGCGGCCGTAGCTCAGGATCGCGGATATCCACGGCAATTGCTGAGGGAAGTCCATGCGTAATGCATATAATCCTGCTGCGTCGCTCCCACGGCGCAGCAAATCGCCCTCACCCTTTTTTTTTTCTCTCTTTCTTTCAGCTCCAGCCCGCTCCTCCGTCAGCTCAGCAGCTGCCCCCAACCCAACGTCCCACCAGTGGCTCAGGGAACGCGGGAAGTGCCGGACAGGAAGGGAGATAGATAGAGCGAGAGATAGATAGATAGATAGAGAGAAGTAGGTATCGATATCTATCCGCATAGTCGGGGCTTGGCGTTGGTCGATAACATGGTACGCATACTCATATATATGTACGGGCCCATGCGCGCGGGCGGCGAGGCCGACTGGGGCGTGTTTTACCAGGGCGCCTCTCACGACAGCCTCAAGGGGGAATGCGGAGGAGGGCAGCCAGGTCGGGTCAGGCCAGGTCAGGTACCGATAGCATGTTTTCCCTCTCTGGTGTCATGCACCGCGACGGACGCCGTCGCACGCAGCTAATCTACCGACCTACCCTACCTACCTACCTCGTTTGGTTTCGTCCAGGGCCATCCTCCATCTCGGGCACGCCAGGGAGAGAGAGAGAGAGAGAGAGAGAAGGGGGGAGGGGAGGGGATAGAAAGGCAGAGAGACGGAGAGAGAAACCTACCGATGGGATAATCTGCGTGATATTTGATCCCTCAGGGCCCCCCTCCCACCCCCCACTCGTCGTCCTACGTACGCCTATGCAGCGCTCTGGATTCGGATTGCGGATCGGAGGGCAACCCGTAGCAAAGGGGCAGGTCGGAACATTATCTAGCATATCGGCGCAGGTGGGCAGGTAGGTATGTACCCTATGTACGTACGGATGGATGTATGCATGCGTGCCTACAATAACCTCCCATGCCCCTATGGCACATGCCTATCTCCAATATCGTTCCCTGGCGATGGGTGGCATGGCCGAGCAGGGTGACGCATAAACAGACTAGCCACGCACGCGAAGTCGCATCCCCGGCACAGCGTGAGGGCAAGATCCTCGCCCCCGGAGCTGGGCTAGCCTTAGTCGGGACCAGAAGGGGAAAATCACGTAACGTTAGGGCGGGCAGGGGGAGGGCTCGGCCCTGTGTGTGGTGTATTGTACGTATGCGTCCTTTTGCTGCCCTTGCTGGGAAGGCCTACGATTTCCTGCTCGGGTTTCTGGTTTCGAAGGCGCGCCCGCTGTGGGCCGAAAGAGGCTATGGCCAGGGCAACAAGCCAGGCGAGGCCCTACGCGAGTGGGATCGGCCATCATGGAGTCAGTGCTCGAAGCTATCGCCGCCCTGAACGGGGTAAGCGTGCGCCTTGGAAGACAGGGTCCCTAGCAGTGTCTCTCTTGTTTCTTGTTTTTCCTCCTGCTCCTCTACACGTGCCTTCTCGCACCCGAGGCTCTCGTTGCGGTGTGGAGCGGGCTCAAGTATTGAGATGGTAAACTTGGTACTCGTACAATAAATTGCCGAGCATGCTAGGTCGTTAGTTGGTATGTGCTGTGTTGCGTTGTACTTATTGGGTATTCTATCGTTAGCGAGTCTCTCTACTCCCTGAACATGGATAGCCGTGCAGCCCTGCTGCGAGGAGGGATGGCCTAGCTAGGTTATAGGAGCAGACAGAGACGCCGCTCCCCTCCAACAGGGTTGATTCGTCTGAAGCAGTCCTGCCATGCCGTGAAGGGGATGGACGAAAACTAACCACAGGGCTGAGTCGCTCCGGCTAGGCTTACTGAGTACCGTGGAGTCAACTATGTATAGGGCCGCAAGGATCAACTGCTAGCTTAGTAACACCCCCCTCTCTCCCCCTCCGACTTCTATGAGAGCGAGGACAGCTACGCCACCGCGTACACGGACGGGCCTTGATGACATTCCTACGAGGAATCTTACCTTAGTTGCGCCGACTGAAACCAGTAGCACGCTGGGACCTGGCCTGGATTCAGCTTTTAGGGGGGTCACTGTGCCGTATTAGTCAAGTATGCTCGGGATTTGAACCGGTTCTATCTACACGCTTTGAGGGCTATGCAAAATGGGGATACATTCTGGATAGGAAGCGTTCGTAGCTACGGTAGTACCCCGTAGTTGATGTGCGAGCGTAAAGTCTGTAGGATTCGAATGCCCCAGGCTTATCGCATAGTAACACTGTCCATCCCTCGACCTCGAGAGGAACAGCCAAATAGGCACTCGGGAGAGGAACGGTGAGCCAACCCCAAGCCAGCGAGCCCTACCAGTGCCGTCGATGGAGCAAGGCCAAGGATCCATTGCGTCTGTGAGATCCTCTCATACGGGATGACGGAACGAGCGACTTCGAACGATATCATAGTTGTGAAGAGGGAGGCTGCCGGTGGCCGGGACGTCCCGAATGACCAAAGGTACCTCGATCGGAATGTGAGCCTGCTGGAATTAGAGCTGTCCTAGGTTGGTGCTGGCCTGCAGGCCTAATTCACGAAAGGCACATCGTTGCGGTTGGAGGATGGATATCCACGGGTGCCTGGCGAGCCCACCAATGGCTATGAACACAACGTCGGAGCCGTATCGTCCAATGGAAACACGCTTTTACTGCGCCGGCCGTGTCAACACACCTACAGGCCACACCATTCGGCAGAGACAACCGTGATAGGCTCTAGTGAAGCTTGGGCGTTACTAAGATTCAGCGATCGGGAGGGCTGGATCTCCAGGCAGCAGAATAAGCGCCTCTATTATATTAGCGTCCAGGGGTATGCCGCGCTCGTCACCCCCCGACAACCGCAAGCGCGGAGCCTTTTGGTAAGCAGATGCCTTCATATCTGTAGGTGGCGTAAGGCTAGTAGCCACAAGTTGTGTTCTAATTTTCACACCCTTGATGCTTGCCCGGGCGGGTGTGGATGTAGATGCCAACAGAGCTACCCCAGGGTGGCAATGGCCAGGTTATACTGAGGAGATCGAGCGAGCGGTAAGTAGTCGCGGGGTCTAATGGATGCTGCCTAATCACGGTGTCGGTCGATGGAGGGTAGCCCCCAGTTCAAGACGAGTTACAGATAGGCGGCCTTGCCCTACGGAATCGCCGTATGGAGGCACGGGCGGTCTTAATATCTGTATTTTAGTCACTGGAAGCTAATTATAGGACATCCCGGCAGACCTTCAGTTGAGCGATGTCGTGCGGAGCGGCAGTTTGTAGTCTAAAGAGAGTGGAATTGGCTACTGCGGCGGAGTGTGTCGTTGATGGGGCTTCCTCTCGACGAGACCTTGGCGGGTTTCAACCACGAAGCGCGTACTGACACCAATGGGTAGACGTACTTCTGCAGCACGTGAAGGGTAATTTGAGAGAATATTGAAATCGTAGGAAGGATAAACACGTATCCATGGACAACCTGGCCCCTACCAACTATGTCACAGTTGACTGAATCATAGTATTACGAAGACTTGATTGAAGGAAACTCGGGACAGAACCAACCGCTATTAACCAACTGGTTAGGAAGGCCTAAATGAATTATGATAACATGAGTTTATTTCTAATAAGGCCAAAATCGAGACCGTTGTAATTGCTTAAATTGAGGGTTGAGAGAGAAGTTTCTAATATGTGGTAGATAAGAGCCTCTGTTGATGCGTGGCATATGTCCAGGGCTTCCCCCATGGCTCATGCAACTATAAAACAGAGTAAGTCTACAGCTCGTAAATTAAATCTTCGTTAGTAATGAGAGGAATGGTTGAATGGAAACTAAAATCTGATCTTCACATTATGTCAGCGTCGTGTAGGGAGAGCCAACTAATGTAGCCTTGCGCATCCAAACGAGGAAACAGAGACATCTACGTTTTCACGTACCAGTATGCGAGTAGCGTAGCCATTCGTCTATTGCTCGAAACGTGTTACAACGCTTCCATCTTGGTTCTACCCTCCGCGGAATTGAAAGGCCGCGACCATGAGCCTGTATGGTGGAATAGGAATGTGCAGCTATGGAACATATTAAACCAGTTTGATGGATGAATGCCCAAGGTACTCAAGACAAAATAGGGCACCTAGAAACCTATTTAAGAGATGATAAAGGTCGATAATGACATACACATTATACTAGTCTCCGTCTGGAGATAGCATCTGAACCGCTGTATTTAAAGCTGTTTTGGCTACTATTTGCTATGCCCCCCGGAGCTGAGACGTAACTAGGAGTTGTGTTAAATACATAATTGTCACGTAGCTAGAACTACGTGTGCGCGAGAGCGCACGCGAGGAGCTATCTTACGAGCAACGGGAGGAGGAGCAACGAAAAAAGGTCTTAGATCTATCTAAGAACGAGCCAAAGGAGTGGAAACAACGGGAGCGAATATATAGGAGCTCTTGTTGCTGAGGTAAGCAACGAAGAGGCGCAACCTCTACGTGACAATAATATATATTTGTGTAGTTGCTAAAGGCAAAGTTGAAATATCGCCTGCGTATTAAAACTCTGGCGTACGGCATTTCAAGGACACAGGCGGACGATATATGAAACTTGACAGTATAGAAATGTCAAATAGGTGGTGTTGACAACATAGGTTATGTGTCAAACCTGCTAGACTTATGGAATTAGAATGAGGATGGCCGCTAGATAGCCTATTTAATCGTTTATA